AAACAACTAATATATAGTGACATTGGTATGGCTAAGCAATTCTGGAATTACTCACCTATTTAATTCTGAATAAATAAGTGGGTAATTCCAAAATTAATTAATATGATTACATTAATTAATTCTGGAATTATCCACTTAATTAATTAATTAATGTGATTACATTAATTAGGCTAGATCCAACATGATGTAGCCTAATTAATGTAATCACATTCTAAATCAAATGATATAATTTGAAGCAGACTGAGAGGGAGATGAAGACACAACAATTGTGGAGTGAGGAGATGAACACTACTGCCTCCATCCTCCTCCTTCTCATTTCCTTCCTCTTGTGTTGCTGACACTCCTTTTATCAAACTGTCAAGTATTATATTTACATATAGAAAATACTTAAAATCCATAAAACATCAAGATATCTATATAACGTTATTGTTGGAGTTAATCATTTTAGTAAATTTATAAATGCCTCAATTACTCATTATCACATCTGTGAGTAATTCAGTACCCTCTTTTAAAGGGAACTAAGTTATTGTGATTTAGATGCTTCTACCAAAGTCCAGAAACCACATAAATCATTTGAACAAGGAAAACTAATATAGACTTATTCATGCCCGAGGCTCCAGTTTTTATCCCCAATACTGAAAAGAAAAATAAGTATAATAATTAACTAGTAAAAGGTGGTGAACCACTAAAAGAAGTAAAATAAGGCTCCAAAGAATGCAGAAATGGCATATATAGCGAGCAGATACTGCTTCTTGGGATGAGGCAGAGTAGCCACAAAAGGAAGAAATGTACAAGAGGGACCCATGAGACTGAGGAGCATAACTCATTGAGGAAGATGAACCATGGCCCACTGGAGGTTGAAAGGGATCTGTAATGCATCGACAAATCAGATGTAATTTCATAACATTCCCCCGACCATTTCTGATACCAGATATATGGGGTTTTCCACACCAAGTTATTCTCCAATTCTCTGCATATATCTGGGTGTCCTATAGTTGAATTAAGGAACTATCAGAGACCCCACAGTCTTACAAGTATGTACCCATGACTAGAGATGATAATCACAAGATGGCGCCTCAAGTTACCCACATGTTTCTGAAGTCGTTGTCACTGTAAGGAGGTCCAATGTAGTCTCTCCATTGGAAAAGTAAACCTCTACTAGACTTTCAGACCCTTGCCCATACCACAGAAAAGACATAAAGATGTGTTGGGCTTCAGCAAAGAGAGGATGAGCATCATTAGAAAGTGAAAAGTGAATAAAGGAACCCTCATAGAATAATGTGGGCAATCTCAAAAGCAAAAAGAGACACACCACCAGGGATTAAGGTCAGGTTTATTTTAATAGGGTACAAAGGTAGAATATATGATCCAAAGGGACAGAACATCCCTAGAGATTGGGATATATAAAGCAAGATGGTTTTCTATTAGGGAGTCTAGTCTGGAATGTAGTTTGCATCTGATGGATCAGGTGATTAATCCAATCAAATTTTAGCCTCTAGCTAGTAGTGTGTTTCTATTGAAATCTTGTTCTGCTTTGCTTCATTCCAGAACATTTATGGGGAACTGGAAAGTTATAAAGTAACTTATGGGATTGTTTGGTGCATTTTTATATTTCGGTCTCTTTCTGTCCCTTAAGCTTCTTTGTCCAGGTCAGGAGCAGTTCACAAATTATTGTTCCACATCCCAAAAGGCACATTTCTCCTTTAGAGAGTTTTTTTTTTCCTTAGTATCCCTAAATTTCTACCTTATTCCCAAGGACGATCCTCCATTCCCAAGATTCATCTTCAGAATGGATGATTTTCTACAGCCCTTTTCTAGAAGGGATCATAAAACCAAGAGAAACAACTTTGTTTATTAGCCAATTTATTATAAAAGATCTTGGAAAGACACAGTGAATAGCCAGATGAACATGTGCATAGGGTGAGGCCCAAAATATCTGGAACACATGAGTATCTGTCCCATGGTGGAGTTTCAGAGGCACCACCCCAAAACACACATGGATGCATTGTTATTCATCAAGTCAGATGCTCCCTCAATGTTTGCATGGAGGTTTCACTGAGTCACTATGATTGATTAAATCACTGACTACTGGCAAATAATAAACTCAACCTTCAGCCCTATTTCCTCCACTCTTTCAACTTTCTACTCATAAAATTTGTTACTTTGGCAATCTGCCCCCCTCCTGAGGTGACCCATGTTAATAAGATGACTTTCTAAAAGTTATCTTATTAACATAAACTCAGATGGCTGAAAGGGGCTGGTTATTAATAACAAGAGACTCTCCTTTCATCTGCATCAGGAAATTCCAAGAGTTTTAGGAGCTGTTTTAAGAGATCAGGGAGAGAAACCACTTTTCAGGGACCTAGAGTGAAGACTAAAATTATGGATAAAGATATCAATATACACATTTCCTACTATGTAACCAAAAGGTGAGCCTTCTGCACACTGCTGGAAGGTGATTCAAAAAGAAAAAAACAGCCCAGTTTGGTAACCCATGCCTGTGATCCCTGAGGCAGGAGTATCACAAGCTCAAAGCCAGTCTAAGCACCATAGCCAGGCTCTAAGCAATGCAACAAAACACTGTCTTAAAATAAAATTTAAAAAGGTTTGGTGGTGCTCGAGTTGTAGCTCAGTGCGGGAGCATTGTGAGGCACTGGCTTCAATTCTCAGCACCACATTAAAAAATAAACTAAATAAATTTATTGTGTCCAACCACAACTAAATAAAAATAGTTTTTAAAAAAGATTGGGGACATCACTCAGTGGTTAAGGAGCCTGAATTGAATCCCTGGTCCCCCAACCCACAGCCAAAAGAAAAAAGAAAAAAAAACAGAACTACCTTGCAATGAAGTGGCCCCTTCACTGCATTGTACAAAATATCTCACATTGTCTCAGTTGGCAAAAAAGTGTTTACAAGGTCCAGCTCCATTAACACAAAGAAAACCAACATAGAGCAGATTTGGAACAGAAATGCAATAAAATGATACTGGACTCTGTCCACACCTTTGACTTTATACTTTATGTATACATACATGTTATACCATTTTACAAATTTTGAACTTCCATAAAACAACAAATCCATCATGACAAAGCAACCTGACTAAGGAAGAAGTTCTTATCTACTCCCCAACATAAGGAAAAAGCACTCCCAATCACTGTACACTACACTACTATATGATCTCTTCAGATTCACTCAGTCTCATTGACTATACTATTACCTAAAAGATAACAATTTGTATAGAAAATCAAAATATAAGAAGAGAGAGGAAGCAAATGGTCAATACATACAGTTACACACATATACAACACAAGCAAAGAGAAAATATACAAAACTAATACATCCTTGTTTCTAGAAGTACTGTGTGTTATATGTACTCTCTTTCTTCCAAATCCCATTCTGTGTTTCCTCTCCCCAAGTCAGAAAACTAGTCACAAAAATCTGGTAGAGTGAACACACCTTTATTTTTGCAGGGTCTAATTCTCAATAGTCCTGTCTCTTCTTGTTTGCTGTGGTTTTCCATTAACCCTTAAGATCAGACTTGGAAGTACTAAGAGGAAATATACTAACTGGACCTATGCTCATGATCAAAGCTTTTTGAAATTCACTTTGCATCTGAAAATTCTCTTTTTCATTTATATTTACTCTAGTAATTCTTGCCTTTCCTCAGTTACAGTATTGACACAAAAGAGGAATGGAGGGAAAAATCAAAAGGTAGCAGGAAAGGTGGATATGATCAAAGTACATTATATGCATGTATGAAATTGTCACAATAAAACCTGACATTTTGTACAATGAATATGTACTAATAGCTTCTAAGGGGGATCCATTCCCTTATCCCTAATTCCCTGGATTAACATATCACAATATTCTCAATGGTACCAGAAAGTTACTGAGGCAAGGGAAAACAAATATGTTCCAATCATCCCAGAATAGAAAGCAAATACCATAGAAAGTTGGACCATTCTCTTAAAAATCCACCATTGTTTGGAGATTGGAACAGAAATATCTTCCAAAGGCTTATGTGTTAAAAGCTTGGTTCTGCTTGTGGCCCTTTTTGGAAGTGGTGGAAACTTTGGGTGGTGGGGACTAGGAAACAGGAAGGAAGTAGGTAAATGTAGCTGTGTAATTGAAGACTAGGTCTTGTCCCAGACCCTTATTTTTCCCTTCCTCCCTCTCTCTTTTTTCTCTCACTACCCTCACTTTTAACTCCCTCCCTTCCCCTACCCTTTTCCTCTGTCTCCCTCTCTTGCTTTGTGTCTTCTATAAGATGAATCACTTGCTCCACCACATGTTACCAATCATTACATGACATTCTGCCTCAGAAACAATGAAGCTAGACAATTATGAACTGAAACCTCTAAAACTATAAGGAAAATAAATCTCTCCTCCTATAGGTTGATTTCTCAGTATTTTGTCACAGAGTCAACAAGATGACTAACACACCTATTCATATCCCAGAAAACTTTTGGATGATAAACTTTCTGGCATCTGATAGTCCAAAATTGCAAAAATAGAACTGGAAAACCTTCTCAATCTCAAGTTTCCTCTACAAACATGCAAGTCCAGTAATGTGATCTCCCCTTTGTTTGAATTTTTTTCAGACAGGGTACCACTAAGGTGCCCAAGATAGTCTGAGACTTAAGGGCTAAAGTGATCCTCCTGCCTTAGCCTCCCCAGTAGCTGGGATAGAGGTATGAGCTGTCACACCTATCTAAAATATTTTTCAATACCAAAAAGATATGGTTCCTTATATTTAAATTCCACATTCCCTAAACCAGTTCAAAAAGAGTTAACTTTTAACCTCTGCTATCTGAATATATAAGACATGAACCCTTTTAACCACACATCTGAAGTCTGAACAAGAGCAGGAGGACAAGTACATTGCACCTTCCAAGTCTCATCTCAGGGGATTTTGCCACATTGAGTCTATAGCCACAGCAACAGCCACAGTGAGTGATCACACATACCAAGGGACTCTATGAAGACAAAACCTTTTGGTGTCACGGAAGTAATAAAGATTTAGCCTCTGGGTAAGCACCATCAACACCACAGCCTGAGATGAACCCCTCCTTTGGAGTGCTCAGGGTCTCCTCCAAAGTAGGAGAATTGTTAAGGGGTACAGGGAGCCCCTCAGACCCACTCTCCATGGAGCAGATGGTCATGGACACATCTCCATACATAATCATGAAGTACGGAAAGAGAGCTCCAGAGAAGGAAGCTGGAGGGAAAGAGAAAATGTGGGACCCATCAATCATGTTATAGAAGGAGACATCCCCTTCACTGTAGTCCAGGAAAACCCCCACCCTGCAGGGATCCTGCCTAGGAGATAACCAAGTCACAGGACCAGTCCCGGCAAAATAACTATTGTCATGTTTCCCCATAACCCAAAACCCCTTATCTGGTAATTCCCTGTATGAGTCTGTTCTTTTTAAATCTTTCCAACAGACTCCCAGAGTCCACCTGCTATGGGATTTATTCTTTATCTCCACTTCCCAGTAACATCTTCCTGATGTGATGCCCTCAAGACCCAACACACTGAAATTTTTATCACTATTCACAGAGGGGTCCTTCAGACATGTCTTTTCATGAGACACACACAGCATGGGGTGAGCAGAGTCTGGATCCAGCGTGACAGACCCTGTTGAGAGAGTTATCAATCATGTAAGGTGCGCCCTTGCCCCAACACATAGCACACAGCCACCCACCACCTCACAGCCACATAGCTGCCTGAGCTGAAGAGGGGATTAGACTCCTGAGATATAAGTCTTGTAACTCAAACCAACGTCCTCAACCAGAAGAAGGAGCCAGAAGGCTGACTTGAGGGTAGCCATGTGACAGGACCATTGGTTACAGTTTTGTGACCATCACTTCTGCCACGGTAACACCATTGGTGATGCCAGTATCTGAATCACCACAGAGGGCTTAAGGAGAAGCCACAAACTATGAGAGCAACAGGAGGAACATCTGGAAGCACACAATCACTCACAGGCTTGGAACTGTTCCTTCCGCCAATCTAGGAGAGAACACATATTTCATATCAGGGATTTGCAGGTACTCCACACATCATGACCAGCACCCAGTCTACTGAAACACAACAATGTGGGAGGAAGAATGGAAAAGCTGTGTGAAAAAATTCAGCTGCTGTATTTATTTTTTAATCACACACACACACACACACACACACACACACACACACACCTCACACATAAACATGAAGTATGGAGAGGCCACTGCAACATTCCCATGAAGACTATGTCAAAAAGCTTAACACCCTGGGATCAAAATTCTGTATAACAAACTGAAAAGTCACTGTTTAGATTTAACTACAAAATAATACTTTCTCAAGACCCAAACATACAACCATGCTAAAAACTAGGTTATCTTGTGATACAGTTGAGGTTACCAAAATTTCCAAGACCTCTTTTACTTATAAAGAACTGACTGTGCTGGACTTGTAAGGTTACCTCTAAGCCATGAGTAGAGAATTACATCTAGCTTAGCTGAACTTGGAGGATGACTAGAAATCATGAGTGCTGGGACCTCAGAGAAATTTTGCCAAGGTAGGTGGCAATGGAGAGGGATTTAGGATGGGAAAGAAAGAAGTTCAAAGCAGGAAACAAATATATACAGTGAGAGGTCATCACTAGTGACTTTTCTTCCACTTCTCACAGACCAAGAGGAGAAAAACATCCTGACACATATGGGTGAACCCAAAAATCTAGGACCTAGTCCTTTGCCTCCCACAAGAATTCCCTGAAGAGTTTCAAAACTTCCAGCTATGATAGAACCCACATTCCTGAACTTCATAAAGTGTGAATGTGTTAAATACATGACTAGGCAACTTTACAAATGTGATAAAGATTCAGGTTCTGGAGCTGAGATTATTCTGGATCCTATGCATCACTCCAAAACTACTCACATGAACCCTTGTAAACAGAGACCTTTCATGGCTATAGTCAGAGAAGCAGATAGAATCACAGTAACAAGGTCAAAAACATGCTGTGTTGCTGGCTTTGAAGATGCAAGAACAGGCCCTCAAATGAAAAATTACAGATGGCCTCTAGAAACTGAGCAAGACAACAGCCTCAGAAAGAAACACAGCCTTGTCCCAACTTTCTTGAACTTCTGGTCTATAAAGATCTAAGTTTGTAGAAATTTGGAAGCAAATAGAAAACTACTATGCCTACATAGGTGTCAAAACCAGTGTTGAACAAAGCACTGGCAGATAAATGTTCTTGCAGAAAGCATAAAATTCCCTGTCTCCTGCACACAGGAAGCTGAGGACCCAGAAAATGTCAAATTCTCTGCTAGATGATGAAGAGACAGATAGTTTCCCAGTGAGCCAGTGAACCAGAGAAAGTCTGAAGTTCAGAGTAAAAAGCCCAATGTCAAACAGGAATAAGTGACCCAGACCTTGGACATAACCTCAGGGTCAGGGGAAGGGAGACCAAGCAATGAGATGAGACCTGCCTTTTCTCAGGAGACACCAACCCAAGGGTATTATTAACCAGTTCAGATGAGCCTCCTGATGGTGAGGACCTCCAATAACCAAGAGAAAACACAAGGTCCATCTTCTCCCACAGTCCCAAGGCCACATAACTCTCCTCCACCTTCCATATTCCCTTTTGGGAATGAGATAGGAAAGTCATTGACCAAAGCAAAGTGTACATATGTCATACACTGCAAAATGTCTTCAACTGGAAAGCTTTTGCCTCCAACAGGGCAGAGCCTCAGGAATAAGATTAGAATAGTTAAAATAATAACTAAACAACATTTTTCTTTCTTGAAGATTTGTGTTTAAATTTGTGCCCACCATATCCAATAATACAGGTTCAATCAGATACATTGGTATTTCCATCTTTGTTGAGTTTCTTCATAGAAACTAGATCATATAAAATGACTGAGGAGACCCAGATGACCCTTGGAGAAAAGTAAATATTTCTCATTTTTCACCAAGACATTATTTGGTAATCCATTATAATTTCATATGTAATAACTGACTGAGATTATCAAAGGAGAAAAGAGAGGTGAAGAAAGCAGCCAGGGGAGAAAAGGAGAAGGAGTGAAAGAAAAAAAACTTTTGAGATTTTCCAGTGTATCTAGTACCATGCTATGCACCTTAATGCAGCCTTCACATAATTCCCACCGAAAATTTGAATATATAACTCAATGTTACAATTTCATAAACAAGATGAGATCAGACATTAGTTCACCTCACACTATTGGCCTGTCAATATTAAAGTATTAATTCTAGTACAATAATGTGTTTATCCTTACAAAATAAAAGAGTATGCAAGTTATACATGAAAATACAGCCATTAATTCAGCAGAGAATGGGGGAGTTGGTTAAAAAGAAATGACTATTTGATCCTTCTTTTATAATAAACCTGTCCACAAAAAAATCATTAAGATTCTCAAAGAGTGTTCCACATACATGTGAAACCAAAGCCTGCTTGATGCCATGGGTCACCTTTCTCTGTTTCTCATAGTCTATATCCCTGATGTCAAAAAGAAATAACAAGAGTAGAAAAAGGGAAGATTATACAAATTCAGATGGCACAGGTCCTATACCAGTCCCCAGAGTTAAAGAGTCTTCTAGATAATCTTTCATTGCATTGGAAACTGCCTTAGCATATACTTGTCCTAACTGCTACTGGAAGGTTCAGGTGGTCTCATTATCACAGGCAAACTCAATGAGATAAATACTTAGAATGGCTTAATAGAATTCAGAGAGAGAGAGAGAGAGAGAGAGAGAGAGAGAGAGAGAGAGAGAGAGAAAGTATTCATTGAACTCTCTCAAAGATGTATCAAGAAGTTGGTTACAATACATGCACACAAAGAACCTGAAAATGCTCTTCACATTGAACTCAAACCACCTTGGATATGATCCTCCAGCTCTCACTGCTTCAGCACACCCAAAATTTCATTGTGAGTCTTGGGCACTCTACTTTTCTTCTCATCTCCTCTCTCATCCCACCTCATCCTTTCTTCTCTGATTTGCTCAATACCCTTTGTCAGGTAAACAATTTTAAACTATCCAGGTTCCTCCTTTTATGATCTTCACACATTAAAATAACAAAGGCATTAAAGACCAAGCCAACAGACAAAGCAAAATTCTCTTAAAAGCAGAGAAAATTGTTGTGAACATTAACTTGCATTTTGTTCCTGTAACACAAACACAAACACAGAATGTTGCATATAAATTTAAGTAGTTCACCGATGCCCTAAGCATCCTGGACCCCAAACTGAGAATACCAGAAATTCATTTCTGAGCAAACAAAGTGCTTAGAAGAATCCTAGCTAGGACAGTGAGTCAGAGTATGAGGGGGCTGAGAGAAGACCAATATCCAGAGGACAAGAAAGAAACAAGAAAACTAAACCTGGACCCCAAAATAGGAATCTGGGGTAAAGGGAATACAGAACCAAGGCCCCACATTAGGAAGATGTAAGTCCCAAGATGTAAAATATAATTTCTGAAATTTCATGGAGACCACCAATTCTTATCTACACAGCTCCAACCCTGCTCCATCTGGGATCTCCTCACAACTGAACTCTCCAGTGTCATTGCACCAACAACAAATACCTTTTCAAAGTATGTTTTCAGGGGGTACAGCTAACCCTAACCTGCAGGGGAGGATGGTCCTAGAATAGGTTCACTCCTGAGAACTACAATACGAAAAAATAAAATTAAAATTAAACAAGACTATAGGGAAATTACCAAAAATGAAGAATGATTGAGGGTTTGGTTGTGGCTCAGTTGTAGAGTGATTGTCCAGCATGTGAAAGGCACTAGGATCAATACTCAGTACCACATAAAAATAAAATTATTGTGTCTACCTACAACTAAAAAAAATGTTGAAAAAAAATGAAGAATGATTTAAAGACAGGAATGTGAGGTGAGTTCTGTGGTCCAATCCCAAGGAGAAGTCCCTGTGGTCTTCCAATGCAAGTTACAATCACTTTTCTCTCCATTTAGGAGAATTTTGCTTTCCTGTTGTGCTTGGCTTTGGTTAGTTTGGGCAGGGGACAGATTAATGTGTGACGATTATTAAAAAAAAAAAAGAGAAATTAAAAGTGTTTACTGGGAGGGGAGGGAAACAAATTAGAGACAGCAGAGCAGGAAAACCCATCCCATCCTGGGTGGAGACCACTGATACAGAAGGGCAGAGGAGGAGGATGGAGAAGTGAAGGCCAAGGAAACATCAGAGTCACTTACCTGCATACAGAGAGGCCTTCCTCCAGGCTGAAAGGGAACACACAATGGAGAGATCACAGTTAAAACAAGCCTTCTCAGGATGAATGTACCTGCCCTGGCCTCCCCTCCATTCTAAAGATGAGACTGCCCACAGGAGGACAGAGCCAAGAAAGGAGATGTGCTCTTGCAGTATGCAGGGACCCCAGGGTGTTGTGGGAAATGCCCTGGACCACAGATCAAGATGGCTGCTTTACAGGCCAAATTCTACCACTGTCCCACTGCTTTCTCTCAGAAAAATTTCTGACTCAAAACCCATAAAAATCCATATTCTATCTGTCTTTTCTCAGTTTTCTGCTAAGGATAAAAATCATACTATGTGTGAAAATATTTGAGAGAATAAAATATAAATCATTCCACAATTATCAGAAGGCATTATTATATCCAGACTTTTTCTGGCAAAGATATACTTGGGAAAGGGGTAGGTATTTGGCCCCTGGTAGAGGGCTTATCTAGCATGCACAAGGCACAAATTTCAGTCCTCAGCACCACAATGAAAAAATAAAATAAAAATTTAAAAA